AAAACTCATCTTATAATGATTTGTTATATGGTGAGACTATAGTATTATTTACTATTAGACCAATTTAAATATCTATCACAGATTCAATATACAAATATTTGATATGAAATGTGGTAGAAATTTTACATGGAAGATAAGATATATTTAAATGTTAAATATTTAGTTTTTAAATTTAATTACGAAACTAAACTTAAAATTTAATTTTTAAGATTATTACATATATTTCTAACAATAATATATATATATATATATATATATATATATAATATTTTCATATAGAGATATATGGAAATATATAATAGTTTTAAGGATTATCCTGACACTCTAATTGTTATACATTTTTTTATAGATAAATTTGACGCATGTGGTGAGAGTAGCAAGAGGTCTTAGTCTAGGTGCTTCCAATATGACTTATGACGCGATACAAATTAACCTTGTAATGTGTGGTAGGGTGAAACCCAATTAGCAAGACTTTGTAAAGTAGTAATGATCACCACAAATGCATAACCTTCCATAACTCAACATTCATTCTGAGTTTGGACAGCCACTGAAAGTATTGTTATGCATAAAATGTTTGTTCATTTGGTGTGAAATGTGTATCATTGTATAATGTTTAAATGTTTATATATATCATTAATTGTTTGTAGTCTAGTTTACCCATACTTTTTTGTGTTATCTATTGTGTGTTGTTTTTCTTTTGCGATGATCACCTAAATGATGTGAGCTTAGAGATACAGTATTTTCAGTTGTTCTAACAAGAGGTGAGAGCGAAATAGATGAATTGGTAAATGAATCTACTCATGTAGATATATTGTATTAAAGTAGGATGTTACAAAAATAAACTCAAAATTTAATTTTTAAGATTATTACATATTTTTCTAACAACAATAAATAAATAAATAAATATATATATATATATATATATAATATTTCCATTGTGAATAAAAAATAGAATAAGAAGAATTCCTTAATAGAAAAACGAGCAGCCAAGTTTTTCTGACAGAATTAATCTTAGAAAATGTTTGACATTTATAAGAAAAGGAAAAAAGAAAGTTAATTTTGACAGGGTAACATATTTTTATTGGAACGATAAGTAGTTTTCAAAGTTGATATTTTACAATGTGTGGCCAATGGCTTCGGATCTGGAGCTGAGACCGAACAACAATATAGAATTAATTACTCATTTGTTGTTATTAACGGCTCTTTCCTCACCATGCTATGCCAAATACCAGATTCCAATCAAACTACTTCACCATCTCTGCGTTGGCATCAATTATCATTCACATTTTAAAATACATGTCATTTTTTAAACACCTATCTTCTTAAACTACCACCATGCCAAGGATCTTAATAATGCATATTCTTTTATGCTCCCACATCTTATATATATCAAAATTATTGCATCTAATAAACATTAAAGCAAACATTATATTTAATTTCTTCCTAACCTTTTAAATTCATTACATCTTTTCATATCTAAAACATTTTAAAGTCTCATTCTTTCTTCTAAAAAATGTAAACTTATGTGAACTTTATAACATGGGTTAATTTTTAAATTTTAGAGGTCATAAGTTTTAGTAAATAGAAGTAAACCAGTAAACTTCAAATGATGCAAAATTCAAGGCTAAAAGATAAGATAATTTGTTTTTTTTTTATTTAATTTTTTTATGTTTTGATTGGAAAATTTTTAGAATAAAAAGTTTCAAACCATTTAATTAATTGAATTCGTGAACGTTGTGAATAGAAACAAAGAACTTTAAGTTTTTTTTTTTGTTATAAATAAATGAATGGAATAATTTAATTTTAAAATAGAGAAACTTGATTAACTACAACAAATAGTTCAAAATCAATCTTTTAAATAAAGTCTCAGGCTGAAGTTTTTTCAACAGTTTTTTTTTTTTAAATACGGTAAACCCTATTAAAAATTAATTATTAGCAAAAAGTAAAATTCTCAAAAATTCATACCCCAAATGAAGAGAACCAAAATTACAATAAACTTAAAGATAATCGTATTTTCCTAAATTTCATATTTCAGTGCATAAAAAGGGTGTGAATTAATAATAAAATACAATATTTTGTACATTGGTAAGTAAAAACGTGCTTCCATTGATTTTTAGTGAATAGTAATTACTTGTCTTAAGATATTAATTGAACCACATACCATAGGTAAATATTGAAACAATTTAACACAATTTTCTAAATAATTATATTTTTTTGCATAAAATCTAATTACATATAATTAACAGCTATATAGTTTATTATTTAATTATGGTATTAAGAATAAACGTTACTTCTAAATAATTAAAAGCATTTAATAGAATTTATTGAGTATTTCTCCATCAATTAATTGATGGACATTTCTCATAAATGTCTATGTTCTGAAAAGTTGATCTGATGGATTAGTGAGTAAATCTAACTCGATTTGATATTATTCAAATAACACTAAAATATTTTAACTTATGACACTAAATTATAAATTATATTTTTTCTCTGTGAAATCTGTGAAAAAATAAGTGAAAACATTTATCGCAGTTTACACAAAAATATAGGAAAACACACGTAAGATCTTAGGAAGAACATCATTGTCAGTAATAGTGTCGGTGATGAAGTAAGGGAAACACAGACTCTCACTCTTTCTCTCTTTCCTCCCTAATTATTATAATACATATAGTTACTGCATCAACTTGGGTTTTTGTCTCAGTATCATACACTGTGTTCCCCACCTCCATGTGCTGCTAAAGCTGCTTCCTTTCTTCCGGGTCTTCATGTTTCACTGCTACTTTAAGTTCACTACTCATTCTCAATTCTGATCCTTCCCCATTTAGATATTTTTTCCAGATTCATTGAAAGACACCCTTTGCAGCAAAAGAGCAGGCTCAGATCATGGGAGTGGATTTAAGGCAAGTGGTGGCGGGTGTGCTCACCCTAACAATGTTCGTCATGCTCATACACATGATCAAAAGGGACCATTTTGATGCTGTTGATGTAAGAAATTCTTGCTCCTTCTTTTTCATTGCTGTCTCTAGCATTACACACACCACTTCATTTCATTGGGTACTCTAAATTGTTACTGTCAAACAAGTAGCCAGGGATCTGGGTTGGTATCACAATGAACTGAATGAAACTCAAGGATCAGGTGAAACCCATGTTGTGATTGGTTTTGTAGAGACGATAGATCCTTAATTGTCACAATTCATAAATTAATCAGGCTCTGGCCCATTTTTTGTACCTCAATGCCAGACTTCCCTCACAAAGTTTATGTGTGAAAGAAAAAAGAGCGATTTCAGTTCAGTACATGTTCTAGTTATTTTCTAATGCATATTTCTTATGACTAATTATTCCTCTTGTGATTTGTCAATATAATTATAACGAACTTATTTCAATGACCTTTTCCTCTGTAGGATAAACAACCTGGAGCAGACGATTTCAGCTTTGACAGTACAAACTTTGAGACTACTCATGTTAGAAAGAACATAGGGATTTGGAAGGGAGATGCTGATGAGTTAAAGCCTTGTTGGGTTAAGCCATCTGAAGGTAAAATTTGATTTTAAGGCCTTGCAAATATTCGAGGAACATATGACGTATACTAGAAAGTGATACCAGTGTTCCATTTTTTTGTCGGTTTTAATGAATATTTTGGCAATGACTTTCAGACAGCAACGTGGAGCAGACTGATGGGTTTGTTACCTTTTCATTAACCAATGGCCCGGAGTACCATATATCTCAGGTAACATTCAACAATTGCTCGTCTCATTGAAGAGTTGCGTATGTATAAGTTATGTAAAGATAGTTGCAGCTATTTTTCAAACATCAGCTCCTCTCCTTACGAAAATGGATCAAACCATTCCTATTGATGATCCTTTCCTTTTTCTTTTGGCCTACTTGCTGTCTTTAATTGATCAATGCTCTCAATATGTTGTTTAATATACTTCTCATCTATAACTTTTACCTTAATGCCTAATATTGATTTCTATTATTTGTTAGAAATCTCAGATTGACTAATAATAAGTTTACAATATATAAGTGTGGATGCAAACCTCATCTCACAAGGTAGGGTAAGTTTAAAGTTCATTTTTTAAAATGGTATTAGAGTCATGTGAAAGGTTCTATATTGAAAAGATGAGTTGCTAAAAAGTTGTTTTTTACAGAGAAGCAGGGAGCTATATAGCCTATGATATAGCGGCTACAGAAAGAGAAACTGAACAAAATGAATGACAGAAAACAAAACTAACTAAAACTAAAAACAGACTAACTAATATTCTTGATTTTGAATTTTCTTACGATCAACCGTCTTGCTTGCTGCTCTGTCAGTTTNGACTTTCAGACAGCAACGTGGAGCAGACTGATGGGTTTGTTACCTTTTCATTAACCAATGGCCCGGAGTACCATATATCTCAGGTAACATTCAACAATTGCTCGTCTCATTGAAGAGTTGCGTATGTATAAGTTATGTAAAGATAGTTGCAGCTATTTTTCAAACATCAGCTCCTCTCCTTACGAAAATGGATCAAACCATTCCTATTGATGATCCTTTCCTTTTTCTTTTGGCCTACTTGCTGTCTTTAATTGATCAATGCTCTCAATATGTTGTTTAATATACTTCTCATCTATAACTTTTACCTTAATGCCTAATATTGATTTCTATTATTTGTTAGAAATCTCAGATTGACTAATAATAAGTTTACAATATATAAGTGTGGATGCAAACCTCATCTCACAAGGTAGGGTAAGTTTAAAGTTCATTTTTTAAAATGGTATTAGAGTCATGTGAAAGGTTCTATATTGAAAAGATGAGTTGCTAAAAAGTTGTTTTTTACAGAGAAGCAGGGAGCTATATAGCCTATGATATAGCGGCTACAGAAAGAGAAACTGAACAAAATGAATGACAGAAAACAAAACTAACTAAAACTAAAAACAGACTAACTAATATTCTTGATTTTGAATTTTCTTACGATCAACCGTCTTGCTTGCTGCTCTGTCAGTTTACAGAATTTTGATTGTTAGTCGTTAGTTCTGTATTATTGTCTCATAACTCTTAATGAAGTTTGATCATGAGAAATGTATGTCCCCCTCTTAATCCAATATTTCAATTATTTCTTCCCACATTATATATGTAACTTTCTGGTAATTCCTTGTTCAGATAGCAGATGCAGTGCTTGTTGCTCGTAGTCTTGGGGCAACACTTGTGATCCCTGACATCAGAGGAAGCCAACCTGGTGACAAGAGGTTAGTGCTGAGGGAAAAAATGTTAATGCAAATTGCTTCTCCTATTTCAATTTCTACTATTGTTGGAGAAATTAGTGAGTGAAAGGGGTGTGGTGGGGTGTGAGTAAATTTTGCATCTTTTTTAAGAGTAATCATAACATTGTTAAATACCATACTGTTTTTGAAATAAGTCTAAACTGTGCTTACAAAGCATTTGCATGTAACTAATATAAGATGTCTCAGGAACTTTGAGGACATTTATGATGTCGATGTGTTCATGAAAAGCATGGAAGGAGTGGTCAGAGTGGTAAAGGATCTTCCTTCTCATGTATCAAAGCATAAAATCGCTGCCGTGAAGGTTCCAAATCGGGTTACAGAAGACTACATTGCCAAACATGTTGAACCTATTTATAGATCAACGGGGAGTGTGAGGCTTGCCACTTACTTTCCTTCAATAAACATGAAGAAGGGAGGGGAAAAAAGCGATGCCGATTCTGTTGCATGCTTAGCAATGTATGAAAGCTTAGAGTTGCAGCAAGAAACACATGACCTTGTTGACTCGATGGTGGAAAGACTTAAAACTTTAAGCCGAAAATCAGATGGCCAATTTATAGCTGTAGATTTGAGGGTTGAGATGTTGGATAAGAAGGGATGCCAAGGAAGTGATGGTAAAGAGAAGAGTTGCTTCAATGCACAAGAAGTTGCAATGTTTCTGAGGAAGATTGGTTTTGAGAAGGATACTACTATCTATGTGACACAATCAAGGTGGGACGAGAGCCTTGATTCTCTTAAGGATTTGTTCCCTAAAACATATACAAAGGTGAGATATTTGTTCTTACTTTACCTTCACATTCACAAACTTTGATTATTAAATGTTCAGATATAAATTTCATACTTTCTGTCAAATTGTTTCAGGAATCTATCATACCTGCAGATAAGAAGAAAAAGTTCCTAGAATCTGAAGATTCTGAGTTGGAGAAAGTGATTGACTTTTACATTAGTTCTGAGAGTGATGTTTTTGTACCAGCAATTTCAGGTCTATTTTATGCAAATGTAGCTGGTAAGAGAATTGGGTCTGGTAAATCCCAGATACTGGTTCCTGCTAATATTCCAGATTCATCTGCTTCTGCCTCCAGTTTCTTGTCCCATTATGTCTCCAAGAAAAATCACTTTGCCTATTCTTGTTACTGTTAGTTTCAAGGGAAGACATTCTTAGTATCATGTAGCAAATGTTGTGTACCAATTGTCCTGAATGATGCTTTGCAAAATTTACCCTTTTGGGGAATTTCAGTGTTATGGCCTAAGGCTTTTTTACTTGAGTTACTCTCATTTCACATGTACACAGGGCTTTCTCTGAACTGGTATTTAGTTTGTAAAATTATGGCTGCCCCCATATTTGATTTTCGTAGCTGCTCAAACAATTGGTATTCCATTCATTGGATGTTTTAGGCACAGCATATAATATATTGTTTTGTTGGATATTCACTGCAAATTAACTTGTTCAGTACCAAAAAGAGAGAAACAAGAGTATTTTTGTTCTGGCATGTGCTAAGATGTCATTCTGTTTTCTTGTAAAAAAAATAGAAGAAAAATATCTATTGTGGTATTCTGTTGAAAGTTACTACATTTCTTTACCATTTACTTATAACTGATACTGATATGAAAGGATAAGTTTTATAATGATAACTGATATAGGGTAACATTTTATGTTCTTAGTTTGTTTTCCTTCTATAAATTCAGGTTGAGAAATTTAGATATGTTTATGTTGGAGAAAGACTCACTTTATATAAAACTCAATTCAAAAGATTCATTGTATTAATAAAACCAAAATTTTCAGTTACAAGATTTCTTTGACTTTAAACTATCCCTTTTTAAGGAAGAGTATGACAGAGAAGACAAAACCACATATTGCATCAGCATTTAGGTCATTGAAATTTGATTTCACATTTGACTTCACGATAATTTTGGAGTCTTCATGATGTGAAGAATCCATTAATTACTTATATATAAAGTCAACAATCAATATGACAATATCAGTTTAAGAACTCTTAAATGAAAGGATATAGGTAGGTTTTTATGGTGTTATTAATCTTTCATTAAAGCACATCACAAAATTATTTGTAATTATTATTATGTTTGTATTATATAGATGTATTATTTCTAGATATTACAATCCAAAAATTAAAGCTATTTGTAACATAACATTTATGACACAAAAAAACTGTAGATATCTACATTCAGAATTAATACATCCTATTTGAAAAATAAGAATAGTATTTTTTTTTCATCAGTTCAAATATCAATAAAACAGATTTCGAAAGAATGAATGATACATAATTAACTATAATGAATACGTAAAAAATGCACAATATTATAAAGCTGCCAACAAATTACTAGAACTGTCTAGAAAAATTATAATATATGGTCACACCCAGGAAAACAATATTAGTCTGACATAAATCAAATCTAAAACCAACGAAAAAATATATTTAATGTGACCTCTAATTGCTTAGTAATCATAAATTTTTACTTAATTTAGAGATTAAAAATAAGAGTTAGTTTCAATTTTATTGTTAATGTCTCAAAAATAACATACAAGTATTCAAATAATATTAAAGACAAAAATATAATTTTAAGTCGTTCAAATTACGTTTGTGATTAAAAACCTTTTCAATATAAATTTTAAAAAAAATTGAATTATAGAAAATAATTATTCAATAAAATAAAACTAAAGATGAGTATGTTGATAAAGAAAAAAAAACTTAAATTCAAAAGGGTGTGTTTCTTTGATAGACGGTAGTGAGAGAGAGAGAGCATTTCCATTGAAAGACCAAAATATAAAAATTAAATTAAATTATTTAAAAATATATGAATAAATTTAAGTTATAAAAAAGGTGACTGACTCTTTGTCAAATTATCGAAATGCGATTCAATACCAGCAACAATACTTTACAAAAACATAAATTTAATCTCTTTTAAATTTGAATCTTCATGGATTTCTCTGTGAAGAAATAAATATCGAGGCTCCTTTAATATATTGTCATACACACTGTTATATTATTTGCATTTTTTAAAGTTAATAAGTGAATGAATAATTAACAATGGAGTGATTTTTGTGACGAATCTTTAATATTGTTGGATCAGGTTTTTTTAGAATAAATTAATTATTTCTTTTTCTTTAATTTTTATGTTTTTTTTGTATTATCGAGTCTTTGGGTTTTTTTCCCCCTAATTTTTAATCAAGGTAATGACGTCTTTGTATTATAATTTGTTATTTTAGCAGTGGTTCAAAACTTATACGTTTGATATATTTTAGGATTTTTGGTTTGGTTTTCGCTCACTAGCTACCAAAGTTATTGCATTGTTTCTAATTTTCAGAATATTTAAAATTATTAATTGTATAATTCAGTATGATTTGACTGAATGATTGAGTTATTTGCGAGTATAACCTATTGAATTGAGGTTAGGTTCCTAGATTTCATGAATTATTTGTATGGTGAAATGTGAGGATGTTGTATGAATTGTATCGCAATGGTGATGAATTGAGTTAGGTATGTTGTTTGATTCGTAATTAGTGTGTCTTGAAGTGTATGTGGTATTGACTTGAACTGGTAAGTCTAGACTAACATAAATTTGAAAAAGGTTTAATTGCTTCCTTTGTCCCCAGTTTGGTTGAATTGTGTCAAATTCATCCTCATTTTTAAAAAAGTTTATTGTCGTCCTCACGTGGTATAAAGTGTCAATTGAATCCAAACATAAAAAACATTTGTTTCAAAGTGTCCTTTTTTCCTATATCTCGTGTCTTCCTTTCATATGCCTCCACTTCTCTAGAGCTATAAAAGCCTTAAATTGGATAAGGTAAATGAAATACTTGTCTTGATTGTATAAAGTAAGACACAGATATATAGGAAAAATGACTACGTTTGTACACCAATTTTTTCTATGTTTTTGGAATTCAATTGACACTTTTACACCACGTGAGGACGACAGAACGTTTCATTACACCAACGTGAGGATGACATGAACTTTTTTATTAAATGAGGATGAATTTGACACAATTCACCAAACTGGGGACAAAGGAAGCAATTAAACCTTTGAAAAATTATATAGACTTGTTGAGTGAGGAACTGTGTCGTTGGGCGAGACCAAGGCCAAAGAGTCATTGACTTGGTAGTTGTTGGGTGAGAATATTCTTGCTGAGTGACTTCAAAGTGAGAGAGTTCACTAACTTGGTTGTCATTATGCATGACAATTCTTTGTTGGGCGAATTATGAGTGATTTAATCTTTGTGAGTTCTACTGCTTGTGTCATTAGGCGATACATCTAGTTGTTGGGTGAGTGGGCCTTCAAGCACTACTCGCTAAGCGAGTTGATGATCTCGCTGATAGAAATTAGCAGGATTATTTAGTCTTCCATATTCACTATTTTGTATGTTTAAAGTAATCTTATAAGTTGTTAAGGACATTATGAAACTATATGTATAAGTGATTTGTACACGGATGGTTGGTACTAATTCAAGGATGATTAGGAATGAGTTTATTAATGTATGTATTAATATAAGAATCCAAACTTTTTTTAGCATTATAATAATAATCAGTCTCATGTAGAGAAGGATGATGTATGCGATGAGAGGAGCAATAGATCATAGTCTAGAAACTTTAGCTTGACGAAAAATATTAACGGATTAACATTGTATTAGATAAGGTAAAATTCATTAACAACGACTTTACAAATAAATAGAAGTCACCACAAATATATAATTTGTCAAAGTCTTATATCAATGCATATATCCTTGTTTAAATTTTTACTTGTGATATGTTTGTTTTTATGAATAAATTGTATGTAAGGTTAATTTCATTTCTGATATATGAAAAAGTGGATATGCCTAAAGAAAGTAATGATGGAATCCCTAATTCAATTAGTTAATTCTTTTTAATATTTTTAATAAATATTTTAGTTCAAGTTATACATCGAGTCATAGAGCTTTATATTTTGACCTCATATTGTTATAATTATTTTTGGGATGATGATAATAATTCATTCCAGTTTAAATTATTTGTTCTTAAATATTGATTGTGATATTTATTTTAATAATAATATTCTATTAAAATAAGATGTTATATATATATATATATATATATATATATATATATATATATATAATTAATAACAAACCTATTTGTTTATTTATAATTTGAAATGTTTCGGGAGGATTTTATTAATCATTTTATCTTATATTTCATAAAATCTTGTAAGTGTTTCTATCTACCTTAATCAGGTCTTCTCCTGGTATCACTATTTCTTTATTTTAATCCTGTTGAATTTAATATACTATTATTCTTTTTTTTTTCTTACTTAGTTTTCCCCAAGATAACCCAAAATGTGCACCTATAAAACATTATAGCAAACAAAGTTTTGTTATTTTGACTTGTATGCTCAAAATTTGACATTTAAACTGTTTTGTTAGAATAAATCCTATTTTGTTCTTTTAAAGTTATTCATGAATATATAATCACTTAATTTTATAAAAAGAAAAGTAATGATAACTCTTTTTAATATGCATTCATTTCTTTCTTAATAATGCTAGAAATACAACCTTTAGATGTATCGTTTTTTATTGATTTAAATTTAACGAAAATGGTTGTGAAGACCACAAGTTTTGAGTTCTTTTTTTTAAAAAAAAACTTTATGTTTCTTACACTTCTTAACTTCTTTTAATTTCACAGTCGTCATTGTTAAATGCTAAATCTATTTCCTACTTATTTAACGTTTTTGGATATTTATATAATAACTGATTGTGAATTTAATTGATTTTTGGTTTAAATTCTGGGATGATTCGCGAATTTATTCAGAATCTTAAGTGATCCTCGTATTTAAAATGGTCTTAATTTAATTTAAATATTTGAAAAATTGAGTAAATTTTACCTTTTATATATTAAGTTGTCACATACCACGTTAAGTAATGTTGAACTGTAATTTTGAAAGACGTATCATTAGGCGACGGTGCTTCTTCCCTCCAATCAATCATCACGTTCAGCTCTTCACTGAACCTTTCCCCAATTCTGTTATTTTTTTTCTTGGTGGGTTTCGAACCCCAATCGCCAACCCAGATACCTTAAAAAATTGAAATCCCCTTTCCACACTGATGTGAGTGTTTCAAGCAGAATGAGATTTGGCAGAGGGAGTAAGGTATCTGGGAGTGGTGTGGTTTCGACACCTTTGGTTACAAAGGAAGACAAAACACCTTATTTTGTGACCTTACTAGGTATCAGTGTCGGAAACAAGTATATACACTATGATGGTTCTTCAGAAAATGTTGAGAAAGGTAACATGTTTCTTGATTCTGGAACACCTCCAACTATCTTACCGACACAGTTTTATGATCGTGTGGTGGCTGAAGTGAAGAACCAAGTTTCCATGGAACCTGTCGGGGACGATCCTGATTTGGGTATCCAACTTTGCTATCGAACAAAGAATAATCTTCTTGGTCCTGTGCTAACTGCTCATTTTGAAGGTGTAAATGTAAAACTGGAACCATTTCAAACCTTCGTTTCACCGAAAGATTTTGTTTTCTGCTTGGGGTTCACCAACACCAGTAGTAATGGGGAAATTTATGGTAACTTTGTTCAGTCAAATTATCTGATTGGGTTTGTTCTAGAAGCAAAAGTTGTCTCTTTCAAGCCAACAGATTGTACCAAGAACTCGTAGAATCTTCAAAGGTTTCAGTTTGCTTCTTGTACTAAAGCAAATTACAGAAAAGAAAAGAAACTTGTGCTTGTTTTTATAGGAAAGGAAATTGTCGATCAAACAAGTATATTCAAGATTTGAAATCCCCTTTCTGCAAGCGTCGTCTGTGATGAAGTTCTCGCAAGCGCAGCGGTGGCCGCGGGAGACGCGATGATTTCTCGTTGCAATGGGTGGCCTCTGTCACGCGATCTGGTTCAGTCCTGGCTCACGGCGTGGAGGATCTGTTTTTCGTTCTGCAATAGCTCCATACGGTATTCACGACAAGCCTGCGACTTTTCGTGTCGCAACGGTGGTGTCTCTCTCCAACAACGGTGCCCCAAATCCCCTTTTCATAGATTTCCAATCAATAATCGGGTTTTCAAAAAGTCTTTTCCTTTTTTCTTTGTTTATGCCTCTTTGATTCGCCTTAGGAGCAATCACCAAGGTATGTCCCTTTAACAATTCAATTCCAATTTCAATTTTTTCTTCAAAGGTAGCAATGTTTTTTATATCTCGTGAATTTTTGAGTTTTAATTGGGTTTTTTTTATTTTAATATCAATAGGTAGATTGTTCACGGTGTTGTTTGCATAGAGAGGTTGATCACTACTAGTGATGGTTGATGAAGTTAAAGAAGGATGAGATGTGTGGGTAACAAGGAACGAAGCTTTTAGGGTTTTTTTTGAATAAGAATTTTTTTGGAAACATTCTCAAGAATGCAGTTTCCATGATCTTTTTATTTTTATTTTTTTTTACTTTATTAAATTCTTTGTCATAATTTAATTATTTTCACATAATAAAATATCTACCTCGTCATATTCTCATCACATTTTTAACATCGGTTTGTGACAACTTAACGGGATGATTGAGCCTTAATGGAATAGAGTTCCTCCTTTGTCGTCATATATTATTTCTTATTAAAGTTTAATTAATAAAATGTGACGCAATTATTCAACTGGCCGTCTTAGCTCAGCTGGTAGAGCGCATGGCTTTTAACCATGTGGTCGTGGGTTCGATTCCCACAGACGGCGATTGTAGAATTTTAGTAGATAAGCAATTATTCTTGTCTTTCTCTAATTCATTTTATGGATTAATTATTTCCGGGCATACTTGTAATGGTCTTTTTTTTGGAAATTTTGTTTTACTTTTCTTCCATGAATTTTCCTAATATGCTTAATATAATGTTTGATTATTTTACTATTAAAAGCTTGACTTGTAAATAGAAAAATAAGTTAATTGAGTTTTATTTCATAAAAAATACTATAATTTTACCTCATCATAATTTTATTGAGTAAGTTCTTTTACTCATTTTTTAGTCAATTATTAAAAATTTTGCAGACATATGAGTGAAAGAGGTTCAAAATGAATCTCTACTAATATATGTTTAGATTGTATTTGAATTTTTTATGTTTAGGTAGAGTTTTATGTGAATGTTAGAGTTCTTAGAACGTAGTTAAGTCTTAGGGTTAGTCTAGCTAAGAGAAGCTAACTTATTTTTGTTGATAATACACTAGGCTAAATGATTTTGTTATGAGAATGATGTGGTATTCTTATTTATTTTGGAACAATGAAATTTATGGTGATGAATAGTGGTAATGTTGTTGAGTTTTTAAATGTGAGAGTGATTTGATACTCGTGAAATGTATTTGTTTATGTGAGTAGTGAACTAAATTGATATATTAAACTAGTCAAATAGGTTCATTGAGAGTTTTTTTTAATAAATATACCAATTTGGGATGAGGAAAAATTTTAAAGAGTTCAATTGGTGTCACTTTGAAGCTCTAATATATTTGCTAAGCATTTTTATTTATGCATACTCGTTGGGCGAGCCATCCTCTTGTTGAGTGAAATAAATTATTTGAAAATACCGAGAGTTCATATCTCATTTCTCACTAGACAAACCAAAATAAATCATTGGGTGAGCCTTTAAATAACACTCCTAATGTTTTAGTTTGTTAGGTGAGCAATATCTCAGTCCACAAAAATTAACTTTGTGGAAATCATGAGAGCTCAGAAAGGATTGATCATTAGGTGAATGAAGTTTTGGGGCAAGCCTCTTCTAGTGATTGGATCATTAGACAAGACGATTTTCTCGCTTGACGAGTTGTTATGATAAGACTTTTAGAGGTTTCTCATTGGGAGCATGACCTCTAGCTAGGCAAGCAAGACCCAAGTCTAGGCTAAGCAATGTTTCAAAATTTTGAAAATTCTATTTTAAATTATTTTAGCGGTTAAAAATTGTTGGTTTTCACTATATTGTTATTTTTCAATAAATAATTGGGATTGAATGCTTTTTACGTGATAAATGGTGGTATTTGAAAATAAATTGAGATGAAAATGTATGATTTGTGTTAAAGGTCAAGTAGAGAGAAAGACAGAGAGGAGAGGAGGGGGGGAGAGGGGGAGAGAGTGTGTGTGGGAGTGGGTATGTGTTTATATAGGATGAAGCCCCAATGATAAATCGATTGTGTTTTGAAGCATTTGATAAAACTTTGAGAGATATTGTGAGAGCCAAAAAGGAAGAAAATGCTCATAAACCATTTGGTTGAAAAGTTGTTGTTTTGGGAGGTGATTTAAGACAAATTTCGCCTGTGGTTAAGAAAACTTCAAGATATGACATTGTGAAAAGTGCAATAAACTATTTTGAATTATGGAGACACTGGAAAATTCTTAAGCTCTCATAAAACATGAGATTAAGGACTAGAATTACAATTGGCCATGTCAATGATATAAAAGAATTTGCTTACTGGAATTTACAAATTGATAATGAAAAGATGGATTTGAATGAAAATGGTGAAGACAATATTGAAATACCAAAAGATTTACTAATTAAAAATAATGGTTCATGATTGCAGTCTTTAGTGGATTTTGTTCATTCAAAGTTATTGAATGATATGATCAATCCTAATTTCTTTGATGATCTTGCAATACTATGTCCTACAGTTGAGTATGTAGAAAAAGCCAATAATTTCATTCTATCTCTTATACCTGATTAATAAGAAACTTATTAAGTGATGATACACCTTGTCAATCTAATGAAAATGAAAAGGTAAAGGCTAAATGATTTACAACATAATTCTTGAATGATATTAAATGCTCAGGAATTTCTAATCATACACTTAAGTTGAAAGTAGGTGTATCGATTATACTCTTTAGAAATATTGACCATGAAAATTGTTTGTGTGGTGATACAAGGTTGCAAGTAACTGATTTGGATAAAATTGTCATATTTGTTATGGTAATCACTGGCAAAAACATTGGTGATAAAGTTTTCATCTCAATAATGGATTTTATATCTTCTAATTCAATATTACCTTTCAAGTTTCAACGAAGGCAATTCCTTATATGTTTGTTTTGCAATGACAATAAACAAGAGTCAAGGATAATCTACATGTAAAGTTGAACTTTATTTTCCACATCCAATTTTTACACATGGACAATTATATGTATGAGTATCAAGAGTGAAAAAAAAATTAAGGATACTCATTTTGGATGATAATAACAAGGTCAAGAGTACAACTACAAATGTTGTTTATAAAGAAATATTTGAAAACCTTTAGAAGGGACCATGTGCATATATTTTTGTCATAATCATTTATTCAACTTTTGTTCTTCCATTTATCATATATATTTGATTCCAATCTTTAAATATTGAAATGCATATGGCTTGACCTCATTATGATCTTCATATATTATATATATAGACAGTGTACTAAATTTCATGAAACGGTAAGTTCTTACATTTTTATATCATATCATGTCTTCATTTATAAGTTTCTAATAATTAACCTTTTCCTCAATAAATTGGTCACAAATCTTATATAAAGAAATTTATTCACTATTTATCTCTAAAAACACGTCTATTGCACTTCATTAAATCCCGTCCGTTGCATGACAGTACAACTAGTAGATGAAACAAAAAAAAACTAATATTATGACAGTCCTGTAAAGGAATGGTAATAATTGGAGGAACATTAACTCGATTAGTCAGTCATTTTTCGCATTGTAAAAATTTGTATAGAAGATCTAAACAACAAAACGTATATGAACTGGCTAAAAGCCCAAAATAAGCTATTATTTACTTTGTGTCTGCGGAATCGAATGTCTCCATTGCTATAAAGTCAGTTTGATATTGTTTATAGAGGCAACTCTAACAGTATCTAGAGATGTTACAATGTACATTTGAACCAAAAACTTAAAAAAGTGAAATGAAGTTAGAAGTAAAAGGAATAACGTAATGATTGCTTTATGCTTAAACCCCTTTGGGATTTATTAGTAAATATACATTACATTGGAATTGTAGAAGGTTGATTCAGCAATATGTAGTTATAATATACTGTATATTGTAGTTGTTGTGAAGTTAGCTTAATATGAATTGCTAGTTATCCCTTGCAGGAACCGGTGCCTATTATGCAGCACGAGATCTAGACCTTCTTAATCTCCTTAGTGGCTTCTTGAAGTAACGAGCCAATGGTGTTTTTGGAACTGGAATGAATTTTCCAGCTATAGCAAGGGGCCAGCTGGAAGATGGCAAAAGCAATAACTATGAGATAAGATTTGTTGCAAAATGCAGAAGCTTCTGTTTGAATCATACATACAGCGAAGCTAAAATATGTTTACAGAAGGAATTCAATAATAGTGGTAGTGTTGTAAAATGAAGCACACAGAGGTCTTGAGATGTGAGCAATGACCAAAGAGCGAGAATGCATGATTCATTGGCACTCCAAGAACCGTTGTTATCAAATGCCAATGCAGATGAGTTAACTAACCTGACAAAGCCAATAACAAGAGAAGCAAGCCACAGCTTCCAATCAAGCCTCACTGTTGAGGTGAACTTTCCAAGGAACTCGATGATGATTATCTAACAATTTGAAGTAGAGTGAGAAGGCAAACAAATGTTAAGAAATAATAATAATCATAATTAAGAACACAATAGAGCGGAGATGATTATTCACCTGAAGTATAAAGGTTGCTCCAACAATTC